TTGTTGCCATGGCGTGGAGCGAGGTCGGGCGGTTCCGGGAAACCGGAAGCCCGTCTCCGAAGAGACGCAGTTTTTTGCAATCGTCGCATCCTGGAACGGGCAGGAGCGATGTACGGCGATGAGGGGCGGTGAGGGGCGACGAGGGGCGATGAGAGCTCCCTCGAAGATGATCCCAGAGAGACGATCATCCGCCGGATGCGAGGCAGGGGGGCGTAACGACCCGTCGTCTTGGGGACGAGCTGCTGCGGCGTTCGAGAATGGCGTTCGGGCTTCTCCGGGGGATTCCAGGGCTTCGTCTTCGAGTTTCATCGAGGCTGAGGGGGATTTGTGAACGGGAGAGAGTCGGGAGTGGGGGAAGGGAGGAGGGGGAGAGGGGGGGAAGGGAGGGGGGGGGGGGAGAGGGGTAAGAGGAGGGGGGGTAAGGGGGGAGGGGGGGAACACGGCTGATGCATTAGTTCCTGCTGGGTCCCGGCTGACTTATTTTCTTTCTGCGTCTGGTTTGGCGTTAATGGGGCGTTGACCCGCTGGGCGCACGTGTCGGATCGGCGTAGCGTCGCCGAGAGAGCAGGGGGTCTCGCTTTTCCAGGGTCACGCGAACACGGGTCGGGAATCTCTCGGTGGGGCAGAGTCGCCCGTCGGGGTCGGCTTTGGCGATCGCAGGAAGGGGAACGGGGGGGGAGGGGGGGTTTCTATTTTCGCTTCTAAGGGTTTACGACGCTTTCTCTTGCGATACCCGAGAGAACCGCCTCCAACATGTGATGAGCTCGTTGCGACCTCGTTTTCCGAAATTGGCGGATGCGTTGCCAGGGTGGGGAGTTGCAGTGCACGTCACGGCTGGCATGGAAACCACCAAGTTTTTCCAGATTCATTCCCCCCACCCCCCACCCCCCATCGTTATTGTGCTCGAGAGACATCTAACAATCGCAATGGCAATAGCCTAGGGGTGAACCAACGAGCGACATCCCCATCCTGTGGGAGAGAGGGCTGGCATCGTACCTCTCGTCGGTAGAGCCCATAGGAGCAAGGTTCTCCTAGGCCCTCCACCTTTGGGCACGTAAACGGGGGCGAGAGTCGATCCGAAAAACGTAAAGAGCCTAGAATTGCCTCGATGGTCCGATCGGTGCGACACTGAATCCGTGGTCCGAGATCGAGCTTCTCCCTTGCCGCGGAATTGCGTGTTAGGGGAAAGAGGCCGCGAAGACGAGGCCGGTTTTCATCCGGCGTTCCCATGGGTACTATGGGGGAAACGCCAGATATTGCGGTCGGTCTTTCGCTTCCCTTCCGGCCGTGGCGGTCGACGGACCCGTAGTATTTCCACGCGGTTTCCGAGTGGAAGCAAGTTGAAGTCAGACATTTCTTCGAGCGGATCGGTCTCGAACGAAGAACCACCTAAACGCAGTAATCGGCAGCGAAGAAACAAACGGACGTCGACCTCTGCTCGGACCGCACGGCCCGCGAGCTCGAACGCGACTGGAGGGCTCCCGTTGCTAGCACGAGGGGGGGGGGGGAAAGAGAGTCCGCTTAGGACTCTATCGTCTCGCGAACTCGGATGCAACTGGAAGGTTCCCGACCGCTTAGGACTCTCCCGTCTCTTGGTGGTGGATGACGCAGGGGATCCGTGCATTCAAGTAAATTCGCGTGAGGAATCCACGGTTGCTTCTTGGGCTGGGGGTGAAGGGCGGGGACGAAAAGTAGGCTTCCTTTTACGTCGATCGTGAGAAAGTTGCGATCTCCGCCGGTCTGACGGAGCGGTGGGACGTCCGTGGGGGATCGATATCGTAAGCCTCGATTCGATCCTTTAGTTATGGGTCCCTTAGGAGTGCATGGATTCCTATGGAGGGTAAAGAGCTCTCTGGCGCGAACGCCTCTCCATCCCGCCTGAATGCGCTTTGTGCATTCGGACCTTGATCCATCCCCCAACCGCGGGAATGCCCACTGCACGGGGCCAAATCGCCGCTCGTGTTTTTAATGTCCCTTCCTCATCCTCCATCCCGTCTCCTTTGCTCCCTCAGATGCCAGGCATGAGAGTCTCCGGGAAACCCCAACTCGTTCAGCTGGAGTGCAAAGTCCTCGTGTTCGCTGTGATCGTCGCCTTCGCCTCTGCTCGGTCTTTCCATCTTCAAGTGAGTGGCCCCCTCGATCAGTCCGAAGTTTTTTGCCGCGTAGGCTTCCGTCAAAAAGAACTTGGGTCTCGTTCGCACCGGAAAGTTTGCTCTGCGATATTTTTTTTTTTTACGAGTCGACTCACGAAGAAAACTTTATCCGTCTTTCGAGATGACATTCGGGCGCAAAAAAAAAGGAGAAGCCCTTATCTTTATGTGCGTTATGAGGCACAACTGTTGCATCTATGAAAAAAAAAGGTTGTTCCGAATGAAAAAAAAAACATATCTCTTTTATTGCTTCGAAACATAAATTCGATATGCCCTCCATTCCGATCGACGACGGTCTGCAATCGAGAACGCCGCCACTGTCTCAAAGGGCAAGGTTTCCCAAGGGCCTGGAGTGCTGCAGATTTCGTTCCGGCGAACCCTTTCTGCAATGTAGAAAGTGATCAACTGAGTGTACGTCAGGGCTGTAGGGGGGGGGGGGGGGGGGGGGGGGGGCCCCCTTGGG